AGACCTGGTGAAGACACAACCTCCGCAGCAAACCAGCAGTAATTCGGTCGCCAACAGCAACCAGCATTTGCCCAGAATAAATATCCCTACGTTCACCGGTCGCATCGAAGAATGGTCGGCGTTTTTCTCACTGTTCGATTCGGTTGTCCACAAAAACGATGCGTTATCAGAAGCTGAAAAATTCCAGTATTTGCGCTCTTATCTGCGAGATGACGCATTAACAGTCATTGCCAATTTTCATCTAACCCCCGAAAATTACGCACTGGCGTATGAGGCATTGCAACTTCGCTACCAGAATAAAAGACGGTTGGCGACTCACTACGTCAATCAAATTCTAGGTTTTACTCCTTTATCATCCCCAAGTTCTAGCAGTTTGAGACATTTTTTGAATATTCATTCGAATTCCATTAATGCTCTTAAGGCTTTGAATCTTCAAGACCTTGGTGATTTTTTGCTGTTTCAATTATCGTTTGCAAATTTGGATCCTGTATCTAGAAAAGCTTTTGAGAATACGCAAAGTTCAAATTCCGTTCCCAGCTATCAGGCGTTAATTGATTTCATAACGGATCAGAATCGAACGTACGAACTTCTCTCTCAGGACACAAAATCACCGAAATGTAAATCTCTATCAGTTAAGTCATTCCGTGCTTCACTCATGACAAATGCCAAATCCGATGCCCCCTATACGTGCTCTGTCCCGTGCGTGCTCTGCAAAGGTTCACATCCCTTTCCGGCATGCAGCGAATTTCTCCAGAAAACAAATGAACAGAAATATGATACGTTGAAGAGATTGAGACGATGTTTCAACTGTTTGGGTGCTCATAATCGAAATGAATGTCAATCTCGTAAAACTTGTCGTATTTGTCACAGCAACAAGCATCACTCCGTGTTACACCAGGAGTCCAAGGCGGATACCTCCGAAACTAGTACTTCTCCCTCTGTAGAGGAAAGAAAATCTCCCGTTGTGTTTTCGTGCAAGACCTCAGCGGAGCGCAACACTGTTTTACTAGCGACTGTGACAGCCCAGATCCAAGACTGTAATGGAGATTATCACAAGATAAGAGCTGTGGTTGATCCCGGCTCTCAAGTATCAGTGATTACTTCATCAACGGCGCAACATTTGGGATTAAAAAGAAGCAGATCTCCCATTGAAGTTACTGGCATCGCCAGTTTTCCTGTCAGAACTCAAGGTCTCATTCGTACCACTCTACGCTCTAGAACTCATGCTGATGTCGTAAACGTTCACGCTGTTGTACTTTCGGATATTCCTAATAAATTTCCTAGTCAGACGTTACCTTCTCACATTAAGGATCAGTTCAGTCATCTAACGTTAGCTGATGAAAACTTCCATCAAGCTGCTCGAGTTGAATTCTTAATTGGAGCAGATCTATATCCTCACATTTTATGTAATACGCAGCCTAATGTTATTCAAGGACAACCCTCTGCCATTGATACAATCTTTGGATGGATAATTATAGGCTCGATTTCATCTTCAACAAATTCCCCGTTGTGTTCTCTTCTCACATGCACCGATTCTCTTGATGATACCGTTCGTAAGTTTTGGGAAACTGAGACTCTCGCTGATAACCTTTCAGTCTCCAATCCTGAAGATGACTTTTGTCAAGCTCATTTCAAGGACACGCACTATCGCGATCGCTCAGGCAGATATGTGGTATCAATGCCAGTCCGTGAGCAGCGCTCGCCGCTTCTCAGCAACCGAGAGACAACTCTGAACACTTATCTCAAAATGGAAGCTCGAATGTCTCGGCGTCCCCAACTCAACGCTGCTTATATTACTTTTCTCCAAGAATACCGCGATCTCGGACATATGCAACTAGCCGCACAACCTTCCATGTACGTAATGCCTCATCATTGTGTTCAAAAGGAAACTAGTTCAACTACCAAAGTGCGAGTTGTGTTTAACGGATCCTCCCCTGACTCAAACGGGACAACGCTTAATCAGCAACTTCTGCCCGGTCCTAAGCTACAAAAGGATTTGAGCCACATTCTCATGAATTTTCGCCTTCATGCTATAGCAGTCACAGCGGATATTCGACAGATGTATAGACAGATTTGGTTGAATCCAAAGCAACGTTATCTCCAGCACATATTCTGGAGGCCAGATCCCGCTTCTAATGTGCAGGAGTATGAGTTAAAAACAGTGACATATGGTTTAGCACCATCAGCATATCTTGCTCAACGTGTCCTTCTCCAGCTCGTCGAGGACGAAGGGCATGAGTTCCCATTGGCAGTACAAGCTATCACAGAAAGCACCTATGTGGACGATATTGCGCATGGTGCCTCTACAGTTGAGGAAGCGAAGTCGCTACAGTTACAACTCGCAAACCTACTCACTCGTGGCGGTTTCCAGCTGAGAAAATGGGCTAGTAATGATCCAATTGCTCTAGATCATGTTCCAGAACAGCATCGTGAATCTCCGTTGAATTTCTCAAGTGACGATCCTTCTATTAAGATTCTTGGATTACGGTGGGATCCTCGGTCTGATACTTTCACCTATTATGTACAAGAATTTGATTCTCAAGTTACCAAGCGCACTGTTCTTTCTTATATCGCTCGAGTCTTTGATCCCATGGGGTGGTTGTCTCCAATTGTATTTTGGGCTAAGCATTTTCTGCAACAGATATGGATCTCTAAAGTGGGCTATGATGATATCCTGCCGCCTTCCCTATCGGAGGCTTGGGGAAGGTTTTCTTCTCAAATGCGGTGTCTACGCGCACTTAAAATTCCTCGATACATTCTCCAAAGTTTGCCACGTTTGCTCTTGGTGGGATTCTCGGACGCTTCCTCTAAAGGATACTCCGCTTGCATCTATTTACATGCGTATGATTCCAGTAGCACTTGCAGCAATCATCTTTTGAAGGCCAAGAACAAAGTGGCACCCCTCAAGACATTGACTATTCCTCGATTGGAACTCTGTGGAGCGTTGTTATTATCTAGACTACTTCGTGATGTGATTAAATCTCTTAAAGCCGTAAGATTTGAAAATGTTCATCTCTATACCGATTCTCAGATTGTTCTTGCATGGCTCCACACCTCTCCTCATCTTCTCAAAACCTACGTGGCCAATCGTGTAGTTCGCATATTAGAGCATACATCTCTTCACCAATGGGCACACACAGTGTCGAATCAAAATTCAGCCGACTTTGCGTCTCGAGGATTATTTCCCGAAGAGATCATGGATTGTCATTCCTGGTGGAATGGACCAGATTTTATGCAGAATCCGCCGTCCAAGTGGCCCGTAAGAGGCGATAATTATGTCGCACCCGAAGAGCTCCCTGAGCGTAAAAACGATCCTATAGTTTTGCGCATCCAAGCCGACCCAGAAAATCCTCTGTATGAAGTTGTGTCACGATTTTCTTCATTTAGTAGACTACAACGCGCTTTCGCATTTATTCGCCGATGGCTACTCCGAATAAGATGTCCCGAGATGAAGGGTCCACTCTCAAGCGAAGAGATGCGATACTCGACCTTATCGCTTGTGCGTCTCACACAGCAAAACCATTTTCCTCTGCTTATAGAAGAGTTGCGTTCCAAAGGTCACACCACAACTCCATTAAGGAAGCTGTTCCCATTCTTGGATGCAATGGGTATAGTTAGGGTGGGCGGACGGCTACGACACTCCGCCCTGCCCCTAGATGCGAAACACCCTCTGCTTTTACCTCAGAAAGCTCATCTCTCGGCTTTAATTTGCGACTACTATCATCTGTACGCTTGCCACGCTGGACCTAGAAGCGTGCAGACGCTTATACAGCAGAAGTTCTGGATAATATCGATTCGATCCCTCCTACGGCAGCGCATTTTTCGCTGCATTCGCTGTTTTAAGTTTAAATCGAAACCTGTATTTCCCTTCATGGCTGATCTACCACCAGCTCGAGTTCAACCTAGCAAACCGTTTTCCTCTGTTGGCATTGACTTTGCCGGACCCTTCACGGTCAGGGAAAGTCGTCGACGTAAGGCCCACACATACAAAGGGTATCTCTGTTTATTCATATGTATGTCTACGAAAGCGGTCCATTTAGAAATGGTCTCGGAACTCTCCACGAAAGCCTTCTTAGCCTCGCTCAACAGATTCACCGCACGCCGTGGTCTACCCTCTGACATATACTCTGATTGCGGACGTAACTTTCTCGGCGCCGCTCGCCACCTGAGGGAGGTGAGTCAGTTTCTACGTTCGCACTCCTCTGAGATAACGAGTTCCTTAACTTCTTTGGAGATAAAATGGCATTTTAACCCTCCAGCCGCACCCAATTTTGGCGGCCTATGGGAGGCTGCGATCAAATCCGCAAAGAGTCTCTTGTATCGATCAATCGGCACCTCTCTCTTAACTTTCGAAGAGTACAGCACGCTATTTTGTAAGATTGAGGCGGTATTGAACAGCCGTCCCTTATGTGCCGTCACCTCTAACCCCGAAGATGCTGTAGATTACCTAAGCCCTGGACATTTCTTAGTCGACAGACCGTTATTGCAACCTCCTGAAGCTCCCTTGGAGGACAACTTGAATTGGACCTGTCGGTGGCAACTACTCTCCCAGCTGTATCAGCGGTTCTGGAAGAGGTGGTCTACGGAGTATCTCCATACTCAACTCCAACGTCAGAAGTGGAATAAGGATCAACCAAACATTCAACCCGGCGCCATTGTCGCATTGTATGGCGCAGAGACTACCCCCCTTTCATGGCCGTTAGGACGCGTACAAGAGGTACATCCTGGAACCGATGGAGTCGTCCGTGTGGCCACAGTGAAAACCGCGACCGGTTTATATACGCGTCCGGTAAACAAGCTCGTGATTCTCCCAACCCAATTCTCAATGGAGAATTGAGTGAACTCTCATAATGTACATAAGGAACTCTCTTTAATTTTCGTTTAATTTTTCGTTAAATTTTGTTAAAATTTGGTGGGCGGTTATGTTCGAACAATAATTGCTCCATTCCGGCGCACGCGCGAGTGAGCGGAAGTAGTACGCTACTGAACGTAAAAGGTGCATGAGTGAACGGTTTTTCCTCTCGCGTGTTCCTCGTTGTACTTCTCAACATCAGGCTACCAAGAACCAGGGGCCCCTGTCACCTACAGCAGGATACTCCAGGTTAGTGGTACTTCTCAGTTATTCTCGGTCCTTCGCGCAAAGTTAAGTCACGGCACCCCGCGTGCACAGGCTCATTTTTGTAACAACAAATTTCAAAACATTATTTCTATGGAAAAATTAACTACACAAGAACGTGAGTAGTTTGAATCCTCACAAATATGTCATATATGTTGTGACGGGCTTGGGAGATTTTCAAAATTAACTTTTGTTAATTTATTATATATAAAACTGTAAAACTCTTGTCGTGGACCTTGTGCCCGACATATAGTGAAAATATTATTTATTTGTTCGTAGGCTGGTTCGTGATGATGGTAACACATTCTAGTGACTGGACAAAGGGACTACTTCAAGTATATGCATTTTGCTTAAATGAATAATTATATTTAATTTAGAAATGAGAATGTACAAAAGAGATTTAGTCATATGAGAATAATTTGGAATAACAATAAATTGTAGTGTAGTTTAATATGCAAATATAATTATCAGAAAATGAACTTCAGTATTAAAACATTTTTAAATAAATTCAAGAAAACTTTATAACTTTGAAACTAAATCTTTGAAAGCATAATAAAACAAATATTTAAAAAAAAATCTAAAACAAAAATATAACAAAACTTAAAATTGGTACCATAACTCAAAATTTGGTAACAACTCAAACATTTGTAACAACTCAAAAATTTGGTAAGGAACATTATAGTAGTTGCGTGGTCAGCGTTCATCAAACAATATAACTGTTTAACTAATAATTTCAATGCAAATTAAGTTTTAAAAATAGATATAAATCTCAAAACGTTATCCAATCGAGAATACAAAGGGCGATTTATCATCAAATTTAAACTGAACTTTAAAAATATTAATAAAAACAAAACTTTGAACTTTTTATGAAATCGTGCACATTGTTGGAGATTTTAACACTTACCCCTTTGTGTCACAACACAAACACACACTAAACAGGCAACTGGCTAGAGGACTCTGATCTTTTTTGGATCTTTCGATCTTTTATAAGTAAAGACCCCTCCAAAGGAGTTGTTTTCGCAAAATTGTTTACTAGTTACCAGTTTATTTGGGGAGTCGTAAAAGTATTTGTGTTTCCACCAAATTAGGCTTAATTAACTGTAATATGAAGATTTTTAGTGGCAAAATGTGCTTTTTGTTAAAATTAACAAATTTAAACCATGAAATTATAAAACTGGACAAAGACATCGTGTCCAGCCAAACGACGCCAATATTTAACTGTGAAATTATAAACCTTGATTAGAATGGTGTGAAATCATAAAATCCAAGTTTCACAAGGACAACCTTGATTTTTACGACAATGACGATTGTTCTGATTCATACCAACATCTCCAAAAATAAGTAAATTTATCGCCCGTTACAATGTAAAAAAACATTTTCAGAAAATAACGTTAAAGTGCGCGATCATAATCACTTAACTGGAATGTATAGGGGTGCTGCACATCAGAGTTGTAATTTAAATTATAAAGATATTTGTGTTATACCTGTGGTGTTTCATAATATGAGTGGATATGACGCACATTTTTTTGTTAAAGAACTTTCAAATTCAATAAAAGGTGACATTAAATTGCTTCCGATCAATAAAGAAAGATATATTTCATTTACTAAATTTGTCGATGATACAAAAGTTAGTTTACGATTTATTGATACTTTCAGATTTATGCCCTACAGTTTAGACAAGCTTTCTTCCAATTTAGATAATTCACAAAAAATTATTACTCAGACAAATTGTAATAATATGGAAGAATTTTATTTGTTAAACAGAAAAGGAGTGTTTCCTTATGATTATATAAATTCCTGGGAGAAACTCCTTGAAACAAAACTACCCGAAAAAAAGGATTTTTATAGCCGCTTATACGAACAAGATATTAAAGATGAAGATTATTCTCACGCTATCAAAGTTTGGAATACTTTCAATATTCGTACATTAGGAGAATATTCCGATTTATATTTAAAAACAGATGTGCTTCTTCTATCCGACGTATTCGAAGCATTTCGAACTACGTGTTTAAATACTTATCAACTTGATCCCTTACATTATTATACTGCACCAGGCTTAACATTTGATGCCATGTTAAAAACGACAAAAATTAAACTAGAACTCTTAACGGATATAGATAAAGTCCTTTTTGTCGAGAGAGGTATTAGAGGTGGAGTTTCCCAGTGTTCTAATAGATACGGTAAAGCCAATAATAAGTACATGAATAAAGACGAATATGATCCTTCACAAGATAGTACCTATTTAATGTATTTTGATGTTAATAACCTTTACGGAGCGGCAATGTCTCAATGTTTACCGTATGGGAAATTTGAATTTGTAGAAAATTTCAATATTTCAGATATCTTAGATACTTCTGATAATTCCACAACTGGTTATATTATTGAATGCGATTTGGATTATCCAGTAGATTTGCATGAAATACATAGCGATTTACCTTTAGCTCCAGAGCACATGATACCTCCCATTTCAAGGTCTAAACTTAAAAAGTTGTTATTGACTTTATATCCTAAGAAAAATTATGTTATACATTATAGGAATTTAAAAATGTATATAAAATTTGGTATGAAAATAAAATGTGTACATCGTGTTCTTAAATTCGAACAGTCTGCGTGGTTAAAGGAATATATAGACTTAAATACAAGGCTTAGACAGCAAGCGAAGAACGATTTTGAAAAAGATTTTTTTAAATTAATGATTAACGCTATTTATGGTAAATGCATGGAAAATGTTCGAAAACATAGGGATATTCGATTGGTCAGTAAATGGGAGGGACGATGGGGAGTTCGTTCTCTTATTTCTAAACCAAATTTTCACAGTTCCGTTGTATTTGATGATGATTCAGCTATCATCGAAATGAGTAAATTAGAGGTGTTTTTAAATAAACCAATTTATGTCGGTTTTTGTATTTTAGATATTTCTAAAACTTTTCTCTATGAATTCCACTATGGTTATATTAAGGAAACATTTAACAATAATGCAAAGTTGCTTTACACCGACACTGACAGTCTAATTTACGAATTTCATGTAGGTGATATATACGAATATATTAAGAAAGATTCTCATCGGTTTGATACTTCAGACTATGATTTGTATAATGTTTATGGTATAGAACAAAAAAATAAAAAAGTGCCAGGTTTGATGAAAGATGAAAATAACGGTAAGATTATGTTAGAATTTGTGGGTCTCAGATCGAAAATGTATGCATATAGAGTTGCAAAGGATGATTTTAATAAAAAAGTAGTTAAGAAATCCAAAGGTAGTACGAAAGCTTCACTTAAAACAATAACATTCGAAAATTATAAAGAATGCTTATTTAATAGCCGAAATTACGAAAAGTCCCAAAATCTCATCAAATCAAAACATCATATTGTTTACACAATAAAACAGGAGAAAATAGTTCTCAGCCATAATGATGATAAGAGAATTGTTACAAGATTTGCAACGGATACGCGACCTTGGGGATATCATATTTCGCCACCAGAAATGTGAAGAGTGGGGAATTATAATATAAAAGCAGTTTAAGTTAGCTGATGATTTATTCGATGTTGGTGATTTCACATTACTACAATGTCTGACTTGAGACAATTTGTTGATTTGCAAGCATTTTGTGCATCCGAAAATGTGTATAAAATTTATCTTCGCGCCGCTGCGAATGATAGGACAAAATTAAATTTGTTCCTTTACATTATTGAAAAAGCAGAATTTATTGTACCGGATGAAGTGTTTAAATGGATTGCTGAAAATGAAGTTGGTTTTTTTACTCTTGACATATGTGTACTCCTACAAAAGAAACAATCTCTTGACAGCTATATTGATGCATTTCTACATATATGTGAAAGAGACAACATTGAAATTTAAATTATGCTTCTTTGGAGTTTTTAATAACCACCAACTACCTTGATAATTCACTAGTTTATAAATCTTTTATTTATAAATTATTAAGTGATCATCGCTGGCAGAATCTGGGGGATATCTTCTATCCTGTTGAAAATATCCAGAAAAATTATCGACGGATCGAGCAATGTGTTGACGAATTTATGTGTCGAGCTGCATATTTGGCAAATCACAAAGCACTCACTACATTCTTTGAGGCTCTAACGATAATCAATTACGATTCCTTCACATCTAAACCCTCTGAAAATCAGGAGCACAAAAGAATTTTCACCTGGCTCAAAAAGAACATTGTCAAAGGCGAAGCTAATCCTGAATTACCATTAGGATGGACCGAAGGACCAGATGAAGTAAGATGGCCCTTAATTAAATTAGATGATTATAAGTATAAGAAAACTTTAGATGTAATTTTTGGTTCTCATAAATAAAATACACAAAAATGGTTGTATATGTAGTTTTATTTACCCCTCAAACATAATACATTAATTTTAAATACAGTAACATTTTAAATTATTCACAACACTCTGACGACATCTTGTGCAGGAATGTATTTTACCATTCGGTCGTGAAGAATAAGACAGTAGGCTGTGGTGTCTGCTGGAATACCTGCGGTCGTTTCAAACCACAACGTAATTGTAACGGGGCCTCTCTTCAAAGCTTCCGTTTGTTTAGAACAGTCGATTACTACTATGGGTGTCTTTTCTTTAAATTCATCCTTATCGAATAATGGCTCGCTAGTTTTGGATAAGAACGATGTCTGGAACTCTTTAAACATATCATAGAGAATTGCATAACGATTATTTGTGAAATCAACATTCAAGTTGTCGTAGGGATACATGGTATCGTTAAGATACAATTTGACATCTCTCAGATTACAATGATCAAATTGACTGTAGTTTTTCTTCAATTGATTTTTTCTTCCCTGTTGCAATGCAAAAAGTATGTACTGAGGTTTTTCTAAGGAAGTTTTAATAGTCCAAGTATTAGTTATCGATTGAACTGGTGGCGCAAATTCATGTAATTCTTTACTTCTAAACATAATATCCAATTCCCTGTTGCTTCTTACAATATCGATCAAGGCGATCCTTTCGGCATCGGACACGGACAAGTGATGCATTTTCCAGCATATTTTACTAAGTTCTACTTTAATTTTGTATTTATCATTTGAAGAAATTAAAGCATTTACATCGGTATTAGAACGAACTAAAACAAGCTCTTGTCTTACATTCAAAATAGCCTTTTTGAAATCTTCGCAAAAGCCAAAAATTATTTTTAATGGAATCGAAACTTCAAAAGTTCCATTTTCTTTAATTATATTCGAATCTTTTTTAGGAAACCATCCAGCATTCTCTAGAGCTACGCTTTCATTACTGTTATACGTTACATATCCTTTCATGGTGGACGCTAACTCTGGGTTTCTAATACTATCCACAACGACTCCAGCAATTTCATATCTTATTTGATTAAACAACAAAAGAACGCCATTATTTACAAATTTGATTTCTGGTTTCTGTACAATTTCATCGATTTCATTTTTCACAATAATCTTACCCTCTATATGCAATGTACTCAAATGAGGAAAAGTGTATAAATCTTGATGTTCAATAGGAATTCTTATTTCATCATCATAGTTATATGAGCTGTTAGAATAAGGCAAGTGGGTATGTCTTTCTCCATAATAAATTGAATGATCATATGCAGCTTTTTCGTTTACGTTTAATATTTCAAAATTCATTGCTGTTTTTTATACTGGATAAAAATATTATTTCAAAACCGTTAATCCTAGAGATTCAAGAAATCTACGATTCCCTAATGTTAAACGTTTGATCCTTGTAGAAGGACTGACTGATTTTCTTTTCATCGTCCTATTTATATATACCGAATTTCGGTTTTTTAGATTTTCATTAAAAATAAAACCCATCACGTAAGCTTCTTAAGATGCAAACGTACACCCACCTCTTCACCTCTAAAACTAACAATATTTCCTTCTTGATCTGTTATTTTAACGATTATCTCATCTATTTGTTTCGTATTAATTGGTAGATATATAACATTTAGTGGTCGCTCCACTATTTTGTAACCGGGAGGTACTGTTGGAAAAAATTGATGTATTACGTGAACGGGATTTCCGTTCTTATATGAACCAGTTACTATATTACAATAAACGCAAAGAGCATTCACTTTTAAAATTTTTGCTGGAAAATCTGATATATGAGTTTTATGCGCTTTCAGAATGTTGTTCTTAAATCCTAATAAACTTCCTAAGGAATCCTTTCTTGAAAAATTTATATCAAGGGTACATTTAACTTCCGATTTTAATGTATTATTATTTCCTCTGATTATTAAGTTTGGTGTTGACATTTTAAATTTCTTTATTCTATTTCCGTATTCGTCAGTTTGGTATTGAAAATAATGTTCCATATAGTTTTTGATTTCTTTATTTAAATACGACTCAATGTCTTCTATCTCATAAGAACCCTCGGGAATTTCTATATAATGCTCTTTTTTGTCTGGTGTAAAAAAATAAAATTTGTTATTATTGTTATCGATATTTGGAAAATAATTCCAAGTAACCAAACTTTCTAATCCTAAAGCATAGTTATAATCTTCCAAGATAATTGGTGGATAGTATCTGCTCGAAAGTACAGAACTGTTTCCATCCAATGAAAATACGTTCGACATCGTAGTACTTGCTTCAACGACACTATCAATTGAACTAAAACGCTCTAACTTCGAACAATCTTATTTGTAACAGTTATATAGAAATCGTAGACATAAATGTCCACAATTAATAGTTTTAAAAGTCTGTAAAGCTTGATGATTATATACTATATTACAGGAACCGTTGCTCTGTAAATATTTGATCAGTTCAAGAGGTGGCCTCAAATCTCCATAACTATCGAAGTATATAGCTTCATTTCGAGTTTTTTTATAAGCTGTCCAATGTGTTCCAGAACCTTCCTTATTGTCTAGATTTAATATACCACACTCATTAAGGTGCACTTTATTTGGAAGCGAATCTTTCATAAAAACTCCTCTGAAGCGAGGAATTTTCAAACGCTTTACATATTTGCAAATGTCGATGTTGGTGAGAGCATGTTTTGGAAGATTTATCGGGAGTTCTTTTGAAATTTTGATGGGGCTAAAAAAAGACCATATCCTCTTTTATATGGTTTCAAATATAATCCACTCCCTGACTTTCCTACAGCTATCGACTCCATTTTCTGATTGTGTCTTTGGTTTTCTTTCAACTGTTCTTTAGCTGATTTAGCATCGTTAACAGCTTTTGCAACGGCTGCTGCACCACCACCTAAAGATCCCAGAGCGCCTAAAGCGGCAAATATTGGTAGTAGAGGTAAAAATCCACCACTTTTCGGTATGGGTATTATACGTCTGTGACGAAGAGGTCTCACTCTCTTTTTTCCTTTTGATGATTTTACTGCTCTCATGGCCACTTTTACAGCATCGTTCATATTCTTAAATTTCTTATTTTTTAAAGCAAGCCTGGCGGATTTTCTTAAAACGTTAAAATTCAAGGCCTTTCCACGTCTAATAGTTTTTCTTTTGATTCGACAACCCATACCAAGTTTTATTTTAGCTTTCATAGCAGCCACAACACCTAAAGCAGCAGCTTTTTCCCCGAAAGATGCGTCCGAAGAACGTAGTCTAAGTTTTGCTTTATCTAATAGAACTTTATCGGCTTTATGTCGATTTTCCAAATCTTTATGTTCACTGTAAGCTATATCGTGAAATTTGCAAGCTTCGTCTAATTGATTTCGACCTTTATCTCCTCTTGCTAATCGTTTTTCTAATTTAGTTCCTGGTCCACAAAAGTTATAACCCGGAATATGAAGTTCAAACGGTAATTTATTAATAACCGAATTTACGATCCCACGTCCACAATATGTTTTTCTGTAGGTCTCACTACGACGACTGTTCCTTGTTCGCTTCGTAATCTTCATTTATACTCAAACTTTCGTTTCAGCTAAAATACTAATGGAATCGTAGAAAAATTTAGTATTTATACCCCTCCACATGTCGGTTTCTTAATTAGATGTCGAAATGCGTTTGATCCCTCAAAACCTTAAATTGCCGATAAGCAATAACGATATCAAAATTAACAGTGAGAATAAAAGACACGGAGATCTTTTACCATCGACAGTAAGATGTATTATTGTCGGACCGTCTAATTGCGGAAAAACTAATGTTATGATAGGTTTAATCGAACATCCAAATGGTTTAAGATTTGAAAATGTCTACGTGTATTCTAAATCTCTTTTCCAACCAAAATATCAATATTTGGAAAATCTTCTAAAACCTATTAAAGGTATAAATTTTTATAGTTTTAACAATTTCGACAATAACAACATACCACCAGCGCACAAAGCTAAAACTAATTCTGTCTTCATTTTTGACGACGTGGCATGTGACAAGCAAAATTTAATGAAAGAATATTTTAGCATGGGACGACACAGAAATATAGATTGTTTTTATTTATGTCAAACATACACATGTATTCCTAAACATCTAATAAGAGACAACGCCAATTTTATTATTTTATTTAAGCAAGATAATTTAAACTTGCGTCATATTTATGATGATCATATCGGTACTGATATCACATTTGATAAATTTAAAGAAATGTGTTCATTTTGCTGGCAAAACTAGTCTTTTTTTATAAAATGTTTGTGAAATGTTGCATACGTATATAAGCCTTTAATTCAAATAGATTAATTCAGTTTATTTGTATTTTCGAAAGTCTTAGGAGACATGGATTCGAAAATATCAGATGTGCTTGATTTAAAAAAGAAATTGATTAAGAAAAGAAAAGATTTACAAAGAAAATTAGAACTAATTAAAGCAACTCAAAGAAATGAAGAAAAAAAGTATGAACCCCTTACCAAACATTTGGAAACATTAATTGAGAGAAGAAGTGAATCTGCAATAAAAAGTAATCAAGATGTGAAAACAAAAAATGCATCGAACATTGAGCACAGTACACCAACAAAGCGAAAGTTGGAAAATACAATTCTATCTCCTGTTCGTGCCAAAAAAACTATCAATAATACACCAATGCAAGAAGAAATTTTCACACCAAGACAAAAAAGAATTGCTACAAAAGTTACTAACCTTGTGAAAAGAATCGATACAATCAAAAACGAAAAAGAACAAGGAATGAGTCCGATTAGTTCAAAATATGATATTCTGTCACAGGGAGATTTCGAGGAATCAATAAATAAAACAGATGCACAGAACAATGTGTTCGAATACATTCCCGAAAAAGACAATGATAATTACAACTTCGATGAAGTTCTTGAAAAATCTGTTCAATTAAGTAAAAATTATATTAAAAACATCGTTGATACAGATGTTTACAACGACTATTTAAATGATTTTGATGAATTACC